CTGCAAACATATTGCCCTGAGGAGGTTAGCACCCCTATCTACTACCCACTTAGACTGGCTGAAAGCTGTAAATGAAACTATAGTGAAAGAAAAATGTATCTACTGTATACCAAGTGGGTATGTTCTAGGAAATTGATTAAATGATCAGAGCCCTGGTTAAACACTCCAGGAATAGCTCCTAGATCTCTAGTTTTGGATAGGATATTTGTATAGCCCAGGAAGACTGAGTATTTTTATTTAACTTATGAGCTGTACCTGACATCATGCTCCTCAGGGTTATACTTTTTTGCAGCCCCTTACAGGTTGAAAATGGTGTCTTATAGGGAGATTAAAGTGACTGGAGTTACAGTATGTCCTGTGGAGAATATGCAATTATTCTTTTTTGATGTACGGCAATAAATAAAACAACTCCAGTCAACAGGTTGCATTGACAATTGTTTATTAAATGATAACACTCTACAATTCAATTGCATTGTTGTTGGTGTTATTGTAACACATTGTGTGTTTCAGGTTCCATTGGAACCACATTCATTTACACAACTGTGCTTTAGGTATGGAGGTATGGTGTTTCCAATGGGGGGGGGGGGGGGGGGGGGGTTTGTGGAGAAAAGGGTTTTTTTGTATGTTTTCTTTTTCTGTTTGTGTAAAAAAAAATTTGCAGTAGTAAAAAATGATCTGATTACGAATAAAAAAAATGTTGAGCTTTAACTAAATCTGTAATAATCTCCCATTGTGTGTATGGGGTACTGTACTTTTGGCAACTTTCTTAAATTAAACGTAAACCAATTCATTAAACTCTCATAAAACATTTAACATGTAAATGTAATTTAAAACTAATTTTTAATCTTTTTAAATCTACAGGTTCTACAGGTTTTATTTTAATTATACCTGGTGATCCTGTTATCATCAGGAAACGCACCCTGAGCAATGACTCATCCACCTTACTAACCGTTCTGTATCTGCCACCCCTCTCTGCCAATCCCTCCACTGGCTTCCCATTGCCCAACGGATACAATTCAAAACATTAAAATAACATATAACGCCATTTATAACTCTGCCCCAAATTACATCACCGATCTTGTCTCTAAATATCACCCAAACCGTACTCTCCGCTCCTCGCACGACCTCCTGCTCTCTAGCTCCCTTGTCTCCTCCTCCCATGCTCGTCTCCAGGACTTTTCCAGAGCTTCCCCCATCCTCTGGAATTTTCTACCCCAATTTATCAGACTATCGCCTTCTCTGCTCACTTTTAGGTGATCTCTGAAAACCTTTCTCTTCAGGGAAGCCTATCCTGCCGTCAGCTAATAATGGAATCTTCTACTCTTCCTACCAGTCCATCCCCCACAGTTGCTACCTTTTGTACCACTAGCCCCTCCCTCCTAGATTGTAAGCTCCGAGGAGCAGGGCCCTCCTATCCCTCTTGTATTGAAACTGTATTGTTGCTGTATTGTCTCCCATTATATTATAAAGCGCTGAGCAAACTGTTGGTGCTATATAAATCCTGTATAATAATAATAATGACATGAACCTGAGTGCATGTACATGTAAAGGCATGAAGAGGCTTTAGAAATATCCGAAGCATTTGAAGCAAAAACAAAAGAGAAAAAACATTATCTTCAAAAAGTAAAATACTTGGCAATTGTTCTCCGTTACTGACTAGAATAGATATGCAGGTAGGAGCTCAGATTTTTATTCTGAAGTTCCTTATCTGCATGCTTTTTTCAGTATTTCAGAAAGAATTGAAGCCAGACAATTAGAATTTCCAAAAAGAATTCAGCAACAGCAGCCTACATATTGCCTCCATATTGCTGTCCATATTACTGTCAGTAAAGATCGTCTTTAAACTAGTGCATCAAGTCAACTGCAATTTTAGTTATAGCTATAATATCTCCCTAACAAAGTGAGGTTTATCATCAGTGATACTTCTCAAAAGACTCAACATTGGGGCTCCAAAGGCTGGAGCTAAAAGGAAATCTGCCATTGTTAAAAGATGGAGGATGCTACTAGTGTCCTCTGTTTCTAAAAATGTTAGCTGGCTGGTTTGCAACTGACCCTCTAGTTGTAATACTTTGAGTCATTGAGCAAGGATGCACATACATCCTCATGCACACTGGAAGTTTTTACAGCGGCTGTTTTTTTGGCTTTTGGCATTTTTTTCTACAGCCAGTAAACTCCCCAGCATGTTATCCTATGTGTCCATGCATACATAGACTGTACTCAAAGTTTTTTGGCAGGGCGTTCTTTGCCTGGAAAAAAAAAAACAGAACTAGTGGGGTTTCTATGAGTTTTTTTAGCTGTAAAAACGGTAACGCTGAAACACACGGCAAAACGCGGTAAAATGCGGCAAACTGGTGGGTTGTTTTAGCAAAAAAATATTTTTTGTTCCTAAAAAAAAATGCTAAAAAACACAAATGTGACAAAACGCCGCTAAACACTAATACAAAAATGCTAATAAAACGTTGCAAAACACATTTTTAACGTGACTTTACACAGCTAACGTTACTAGAATTCTGAAAACGCACAGTGTGCATGGAGACTAAGGATGCCTGATTTTATCTTGACTTACCTGATCTGCATATTTACTAAATGTCAGTGACTTAGAATGCACTGAAGCCATTGAGAGATCATAACAGCCAGGAAAGCAGCATTTTCAGAAGGTCAGCAGTGGTATTCCTATATATCTTTCATGGCAAGTTTATTTTAAAGTAAAGGCAAAACTTTTTTTTTTCATTTTAGATAAAGTAAGGGATGGTTGTAACCCCTGTCATTTTTTTTAGCCATCTATGTCCCATTGGGGAGATTTCCCTTAAATTTCTGTTACATAACCAAGCAGGAAGTGAATGGAAATCCCTTCAAAGTGAAGGAATTCCTTGTTTTCACCAGGGTCCCCAGGAGTACTGACCCCTTTGGAAGATTTCCCTCTTACAGTTCTGCAGATAACCCATAATTTGGGATTTTCCTTCACTTTCAGTGATATCGCTAAAAAAGACCAAATAGAGAGGGCGAATCTCCCTAACGGGGACACAGATGGCAATAAAAACCTGACGTGATTTAATCTCTCCCCACTCTATCCAAAGCTAAAAAAAAGTTTTGCCTTTAGTTATACTTTGAAAGACTGGAAAGTGTAGATTTGCATCTCACAAGGAGAGACATCTGTGATATAAAAAGGCTGTAGAAAGTCTACCAGCAGCAGTAATGCTGGCTCTAATGTCACATGAGGTTTAAAAGGATTCTAAAGCAGTGGTCTCCAAACTGCGGCCCGAGGGTTGGATGTGGCCCTTTATCTGACCCTCGGGGCACTTTTCCTCAGACTGATACAAGACACTATTCCTTTCCTCCAAACAATGGGGCATAATTACTACTGATGTCAACAATGAGGCACTATTTCTTCCATTGACACCAACTATGGGGCACTATTCCTCCCACTGACACCACTGATGGGGCACTCTTTCCCCCCACTGACACCAACAATAGGACACTATTCCTCCCACTGACACCAATGATAGGGCACTTTTCCTGCCACTAACATCAACAATAGGACACTATTCCTGAAACTGACACCAATGATGGGGCACTATTCCTCCCACTGACACCAATGATGATGGGGCAGCTATTCCTCCCACTTACACCATTGATGGGGCTATTCCTGACACTGACACCATTGATGGGGCACTATTTCCCCCCAATGAAACCAACAATAGGACACTATTCCTCAAACTGACCAATGATGGGGCACTATTCCTCCCACTGACACAACTGGGCACTATTCCTCCCATTGACACCAACAATTGGGCATTATTCCTTCCACTTACACAAATGAAGAGGGGCTATTCGTCCCCCTAATACCAAAGATGGGTTGTTTACTCCCACTGATGCTGGGACAATTTCTACTCCCAATGGCTACAGTCTGGCCCCCCGAAAGTCTGATGGACAGTAAACTGGCCCTATGTTTAGAAAGTTTGAAGACCCCTGTTCTAAAGGTTGTAATTTAAAAAAAAAAAAAATCACAAATCAAACATGTTATACTTATCTGTTCTGTGAAATGGTTTTGCACAGAGCAGCCCCAGTCCTCTTCTTTTTGGTTCCTCTCAGGTGGTCTTGGCTCCTTCCCCCTGCTGAGTGCCCCCATTAGCAAGCCTCTTGCTATGGGGATACTCGAGCAGGTTAGCTCCCGAGCCATGCTCCTGTGAATGCACATTGTCCATTCACACACAGAGTGCTGCTCAGCACCCCCTTCCTCATTGGCTCACTGGTTGTGATTGATAGCAGCAGGAGCCAATTGTTCCCACTGCTGTGTGTGCTAATGAAGAGAGAAAGACCCAGGAGAACCACGGCATTCATGCACATCACTGGATCAAGATGGAGCTCAGGTAAGTATAAGGGGAGCTGCACCCAGAAGGTTTTTTACCTTAATTCATAGAATGTTTTCATAGAAGGTCCTAAAACCTTTCGCCTTTAGGACCACTTTAAGACAAGTGCTTTAACAAGATTTTAATTGTAGCAAAGCAGTTGCTGATATTGGAATATGTCATGAAAGGCAAGTCTAGTGATATCATAATATTAATAGAACACACTAAACTTATTCTACTAAATATTTGTAATATATAGAAGGAATATTTAAAATCTTTTACATTTCATTTACTTAGGCTAAAGTTAGGGTTTTTATTCAATGTCATTAAAGACTATTCTTCTACAACAGATTTCAGGTAACAATGAAGCGAACAGTAACAGTTTATCCCTGAAAATTACTGCACAAGGTAATGCATTTATATCATAGATACTGTATGCTACTACATTCTAGCACATTACAACTCATTGGCAAGTTAAATAGATTGGTCTGTTTAAAGAAGGACAGTATGGTATGTAAATATCACTTGATCTAAACTAAATATTAACTATAAAACATTAAAAAACACTAATTTCAAATACAAAAAAAAATGTAAATGTGTGTTATAGTGTTAAATAAAACTAGTAAAAAAAGTAGAAAAACAACAGTGTGTTCAGTGCCAGGGCTTGGGATGTCGGACTGCAGTCCACGGTGTGCTTTCCTTGGTCTTGCCTACAAAAGGTACAGCTGTAATAAAGGGATCTTGGGGACTGCACCTGATGCCAGAGTGCCAGCGCTGGTGATGATAATGGACTGGACTGCGGTTCTTGACATCGGGTGGGGAACTGTACTGGAATGGAACAGTCACTGGAGGCAGCATAATCTGGACTGGCTTCAGTGGAATCATCTTATCTTCTGGCTTTGGTCTGATGGCACTTGTCTCTCGGTTTTTGGACAAGAAAGAGAAATTACTTGGATTCTTCATTGTTACAGACATAATGGGAATGCCACTTTGTTTCGGTGCCTTCGTAAGCTGTAAAGAGTCGGTATAGTTTTTGTGAGAAGAAGATCGGTCATGTTGGTCTTTTGGTGTTCTTGGGCTCATCAAATTATTTTCACGGTTTAGGAACTCATTGATCTTTGCTTGAGCGTTTGAAATAGCTGGGGTGGTTTTAAGATTTTGTGCTTTTGATTTCTTCTTTTTGTCATCTTTTCTTGGAGATTTTGCAAACTGAATGCCACTGAGCAATCCCTTAGCAGCAGCTCGAGCCAAAATATCTTCAGGAGAGACAGACTGAGAAGGAGCCGTCTAGAGTAGAAGCAATGTAAAGAAAGTCACCTTGGTTATCAGACAAAATAGTCTGCTTCTCAAATATATTGGAGATAAGAACCCATTACGTGGTTAGAGTGTTGAATGTGTGTTGAATGTTTTTTTTTTTTTCACAATGCATTTAAGATCATCACAAAACTCAAATATAAAATAATAAAAACAAATGTTTCTCAGTCCCCCTTACCCCAAATGTATGAAAGATATTATTTAAGAGGACCGGTCATGATAAAACTAATGCAAGACCAGTTGCTGCCTTGTCAATGTTTTGGTCTCACACAGTGCACACAGTGCAGCCTAATCTCACCCTCTACTTAAGGCAGAAGAATAGGATACAGACAACGTAACTAAAGCTAAATAAGGAGGCAAATGCAAATCATTTATAAGAAATTCTGCACACTTTTGAAGTGATTGAGAATTTTTGCAAAAGCCCAGTTGCAACTGGTTCTCTCAAAGTCAACCTTTAAAAACAATATGTTATTAACATTTTATCATCCCACAGCACTGGATAACCAGGGAGAGCCCCAAGTTTATTAATGTTCATTAGGGCAACCTAATCATTGCATTGCGGTAATATGTGGCAAAACCTGCATGTAAGTTCACCTAAGTACTTTGTGCTGCCATTCATGTTGCCACTGTTACAGTAACAGGCAATGCATCTGCGCAACACACATAGTATACATTGTGGTGTGCCGCATTTATAAAAAAGTGTAAACTTTGATTTTCGTGCCATGTATTGGCAGGGCATTAATACTAAAGCTGCTGTCTTAATGCATTGCACAATAATCTATGTGCATGAATGCACTGCAACAGCCTAGAGAAATGTGAATTCTCCCTAAATACTGTAAGGTTTAATTGACACAAATTATTTAAATGTCTATATTGATTTTTTACTTTATTTAATGTCTAAAAGTCTTTGATTGGATGTGTGCCATATACAGTACACCCACACACCAAGTTTAATACGTATTTATAATATATTTACAGTTCTCTCACCTCTCTTGTCATGACAGCAAGAAAACAGCCATTGCAATTATTCGATGGATCCATTTTGAAGAACTTATCACAAGCAGTTTCCATTTCTGCTGGAGGGCAAACAGAAATAACAGGTGGACTCAGCCTGCAAGAAACATCATGACTGGTGAAAAAAAAGCAGAACCGTAATGTGAAAAGATTGTTGGTCATCTCTGAAGTGTTTTAGAATTACAAAAGGCCCAAAGAGCTTACTGCCTTGCGGTCTTTGGTAAAATATGAAGCCAAAGATGCCTGTTTTTGTAAGTACTAGTGGTTATAGAAGGTCGGTATACCCACTGAATTTGTTGTTACTCCAACGGGTGAATTGCAGGCAAATTTACAGTGGTTGAATTTTGGTGCTCACCTATAGTGCCCTGTGTATTCTCCCCCTGGTGAACAAGCTCAGCCCTGGCTGACTTGAGTTTGTTAGGCCCAACCCTAAATTTACTAACCAACAATGCAACATGACAACTAGCAGAAGCGTTTCTTTTCTAATTGATTTATGTGACCTTTAGTGTAATAATAGATATAACACATGCAAGTGCTAACAATGTTTTACCTGTATGGCTTTACTTTGGTTCCATCCATCTTGAACTGAAGGGCCTGGCTGATGACATTTTCATTCTCCTGTTGATACACTGAGCGTGTACAGTATACAATAGTATGCACTTTATTAACTGGAAGGAAAAGACACAACAGATAAACAGAAGCCTTTTTATTGTCATAAATGGAAGGCTGTGAATATGGCATTTGGTCCAGGCCCTGACCTACTTGTATAGATATCAGTAATAGTCCCTTCCAGTGCCCCATTCCTGGTGTCAGTGGGAGGAACAGTGCCTCATCCCTGATGTCAGTGGGAGGAACAGTGCCTCGTCCCTGATGTCAGTGAGAGGAACAGTGCCCCGCCCCTGGTGTCAGTGGGAGGAACATACCCCCATCATTGGGGTCAGAGGGAGGAATAGTGCCCCATTGTTGATGTCAGTGGGAAGAATAACGCCCCATTGTTGGTGTCAGTGGGAAGAATAGCGCCCCATCGTTGGTGTCAATGCAAGGAATAGAGCTTCATATCAGTGGAAGGAAAAGTGCCCCAAGGGCTGGAAAAATGCGAGCAAAGGGCTGCAGTTTGGGGACCCCTTTGTCCTCTGGATATTTAGGAAGACGAGAAACCCTTTATTTTAAAGTGTACGGCCTCTTCTTTTTTTTTACCAAAACTTCAAGATATAACCTTCTTCCTAGTATTTACAGCAATATAGCACTGACCTATTAAGCAGTATTTTATAGTAGTATACTGAGTTAGATAGAACCAGTCACATCAGTCCTACCCTTTAAGAAACTTACAATTTTTTGTTATCTATATCACACTCTTACACTCTTGCATACCAACTAACATGCTAGCATGTTTGTTTGTTTTTTACTGTGGGAAGAAACTGGAGTTGCCAGAGGAAATCATGGTGATCCTACAAAGAACATAAAACATAAAAACATTTGTTGTATTTGAAACCCAGACCCTGAGCAGCAAGAGTTTAATGCATTTTATCAACATTTTGTCCATGAAAAATATAATTTTCATGCTAATCTCTTCAGGAAATTATTTCATTTATATTTATTAAGATGGAATCACGGTGCTGATCCACGTCTATCTTAAGCCAGCCCTGGCTTCCAAACCAACTCTGCAGGCATTTTAGCTAGTTAGGAGATCTTGGTCATATGAGGGATGTCCTAAAAACCATATGCTAGGACATACCATGGACATACCTTGTACACTTGCAGCCTCTTACCCAGTCTTGGTCAAATTGCCACTAAAATTGTCAAGACCCAGCTGTCATTTTGACAGACGGGCCCTTCTCTGTGCTTCAGAATCTCTGTGTAAATGATACCTGCAAATAATGTCTGCATGCATAATTAATGAATATATTGTAACGATATGATTGTAACAATGTATTCACACTATTTCTTTCATGTGCAGATCAGAGGACTTTCATTTAAGCTGTACATAATGTCAGTTAAAGTAGAATTCCAGTCAACCCTAACTACTCTTAAAAATGTCCCCTCCCCCTCCTAACGCCTCTTCTGACTAACCTGTGTAAAAAAAGATCTGCATGCTTTCCTTTTTCAAGCTGCTCCAGTCCCATCCCGTGATCTCCCCTGTGTCAGCCAGTGGCAGTTACAGGGGAATGGAGAGAGTGATCGACAGAGGCTCGTAATTGCTGAGCGGTGATGTCACCCATAGGCTTACTAGTTTGTGCTCCCTCTACTCCCTTGCAGCCAGAGCTGGCTGACAGAGGGGAGCCGATCACTGGACTGGACCAGAGGAGACAGAAAATACATAAGTCTACTTATGAAGGTTAGTCAGAATAGGTGTTCGGAGGGAGTTACATAGTTAGTCTGGCTGAAAAAAGACAAAAGCCCATCCAGTTCAACCATTAAAAAAAAAAAGTTAAAATCCTATACCCACAGTTGATCCAGAGGAAGGCAGAAATACCCAGCAAAGTATGATCCAATTTGCTCCTGCTGGGAAAAAAAAATTCCTTCCTGATCCCCCGAGAGGCAATCAGATATTCCCTGGATTAACTTTACCTATAAATGTTAGTATCCAGTTATATTCTGTGTATCCAAGAAAGAATCCAGGACTTTTTTTAAAGCAATTCACTGAGCTGGCCAGAACCAACTCTTGAGGGAGTCTATTCCACATTTTCACAGCTCTCACTGGGAAGAAACCTTTCCGTGTTTAGAGATTACATTTCTTTTCCTCTAGACGTAAAGAGTGCCCCCTTGTCCTCTGTGATGACCTCAGGGTGAATAGCTCTACACCGAGTTCACTATATGAACCACTATATGAACCACTGATTTATTATACATGTTGATTATATCCCCCCTTAATCTCCTCTTCTCAAGAGAGAATAAATTCAGTTCCTCTCATTTTTTCCTCATAACTGATCTCCTCCATGCCTCGTATCAATTTAGTTGCCCTTCTCTGCACTTTCTCCCAGTTCCCCAATGTTCTTTTTGTGACTTGGTGTCCAAAATTTTACTGCAGATGAGGTCTTACTAATGATTTGTACCGGGGTAATATGATATCTCTCTCTCTGGAGTCTATACCTCTTTTAATACAAGAGAGGATTTTGCTCGCTTTAGATATCGCAGCTTGGCATTGCATGCCATTATTAAGCTTGTGATCTACCAGAACTCCCAGATCCTTCTCCCCCTAGTATGTATGATGCATGCATATTCTTAGCCCCCAAGTGCAGAACCTTACATTTATCAACATTAAACCTCATTTGCCACATAATTGCCCAATTAAACAGTGCATTGAGGTCGGCTTGTAAGTTGAAGACATCCTGTAAGGACGTTATTCCATTGCACAGCTTGGTGTCATCTGCAAAGACTGAAATGGCAATTATAATCCCAGACCCTATATTGTTTATAAATATATATAAAAAGTAAGGGTCCCAACGCTGAACCTTGGGGTACACCACTGACACCCCTAGACCATGAAAAGTATGAATCATTAACCACTACTCTTTGAATACGATGTTTTAGCCAGTTTTCTATCCATTTACATACAGATTTTTCCAAGCCCGTAGATTTCACCTTATACACATTAGCTGTGTGTGTGGGGAACTGTGTCAAATGCTTTTGAAAAATCCAAGTATACCACGTCCACCGCCACCCCTCTGTCCAAGGTTTTGCTCACCTCCTCATAAAAAAAAATCAGACTTGTTTGACAACTTCTGTCTTTCATGAATCCATTCTGTCTGTTGCTAAAAATATTTTTTTCCAGCAAGAACTCATCTATGTGATCTTTTATTAAACTCTCCAGTATCTTTCCCAACTACAGAAGTTAAACTAAAAGGTCTATAATTACTTGGTAAAGATTTTGACCCTTTTTAAATATTGGCAACACATTGGCCTTACGCCAATCCAGTGGTACTATGCCAGCCATTAAAGAGTCCCTAAAAATGGGAAACAATGGCTTTGAAATGACAGAGCTCAATTCTTTAAGGACCCGTGGGTGTATGCCATCTGGTCCACAGGTACTTTATTCACTTTTATTCTGTCTAAATATTTTTGGATTATATCAATTGTGAGCCAATGTGGATCATCTGGAGCTGTGTCAATACCATGCCCATTATGGACAAGAGCTCCCCCATGCTCCTTTGTATACACAGAGCTGAAGAAGGTATTTAATAAATTTACCTTCTCTTTATCCTCAGTCATCCACTCTAGATTATTTTGTAAAGGGCCTACATGCTCAGACCAAACCTTTTTACTATTAATATATTTGAAGAATTTTTTGGGGTTGGTCCTGCTATCTTTTGCAATCTGTCGTTCGTTTTCAATTTTTGTGGCTTTTATTTCCTTTTTGCATATTCTGTTACATTCTTTGTAATGTTTAAACGATGATAGCGTTCCTTCATTTTTATAAATAATAAAAGCTCTTTTCCTATTATCGATAGCTTTTTTAACTTTGGCTGTAAGCCACATAGGTTTGATTTTTAGCCTTTTAACTTGTTGCCCATGGGAATATATTTTGCAGTGTGTTCACATAGTCTTTTTGAAGAACTCCCATTTCTGTGTTGTGTTCATCAATGCCAATGTTCCCTCCCAGTCTAAGTCTTGGAGAGCAGCTCTCAGCCTTGGAAAATTAGCTCTCTTAAAATTGAGCGTTTTTATTTTTCCCATATGTGCTTGCTGTTTACAGCTAACAATAAAGAGTAGTTAGGGTTTAACAGGAATCTCACAATTGTGGCAAATAAGGAGCTGAGGAGAACAGTGAAAGATGCAATGCAATATAACCAGGGCAGGCTGTTGGCTGCATACAGAATCCTGAGTTCAGAATACTAGGGTAGCTGCCTTTTTTAAGGCCCAGTACATGAAAAAGACATGCAAATATACTTGTCCTAATCTTGTACAGTATTGACCCTGATCAAACAAAAGAGTGTTAGAATACTGATCACCTACATTTCATAGCATGGTTCATCTCAGACAGCTGCTGTTTGGCCAGATTGTTCAGTCTCTCAGCTGACACGGACCCTTGCGAAAGATCCTGAAGCAGAGAGGTGTCTGTACAAGAGAATACATACAATTGCTTATTTTACAGGAACATTAAACACAAATGCACAAAAGCATGTTTAGCTGCACCTTTAATATAAGATTCTTATTGTATGGTTAAGGGGTATAAAAGTTTGTAATGACACACCTAAAGGTAATCTGTCACAAAGGAAATATGTGAGTGAGAAGTCTCAGGAGATAGCCAACATACTCCAGCTCCTGAGTTGCGTGTAAATCTGGCCAAACACTGACTGAAATTAGGCTGGTTCAGTAGGGACTGGCCAAATTTTGATCAGTGTGTGCCAGTCACAGCTCACCAGATAGAAAATCTTCTTTGATCAGCTGCTGCAGCTGCTGATTGGTGTTTTCCGATACAAGTCCCACCTGGAAGAGGATTTCTCCATCCATCTTGTTGGCTGAATGAAAAAAACTATCAGTGTATGGCCAGCTTTATTTATGAGGAAGTCATTACAGTGGAGCTAAACAGCTGATGTTTTGCTAACCAGGAACTTGCATGGAGCCTGGAAAACTGAAAAAAGACAGCTTCTTTTTAAGGCTTTTCACAACTGGTTTTCACTTTGGAGCGGAGAACAGGATTTTCTAATCACTACCATTGGGACATTCCCAAGCAAAATAATGAGGGGTGGGAAACAGCCCTATTAAAGGGCTGTCTGAAGGACTTAAGGTCCAAAACTTACATTAGCCAATGTTTGAAAATCCACCTTATAGAATTTTGTAAAGGTATGTTCCATAGGCCCGGTAACTGCATTACAGACCTGAGATGCTGAGACTTGATATTGAAACATCCAAGAAGCACTTATGCCCTTCACAGAATATGCTCTTACCGGAAAGCAGAAACTTACCCTTGCTGGCTATAAGCCTGAATAAAACAACCTGCCTGACCCATCTAGCAATAGTAGAATGAGAGGCTGTTTGACTCTTTTGCAATCCCTTCTGTAAGATAAACAGTGAGTCCAGCCTACTTGCTGTAGCTCAGAGATGTGCCCTTATAGCTCGAACTCTATCTAAAGCCACTTCTTTTGTTCTTTTTAGGGTTGAGCCAAAAAGACAATGTCTTTTGTGAAATGACAACACTAGGTCAAATCCTGTGGTTCAGAAAAGGTTTTTAGAAAGAGCTATGTCCCCCACGCACTAACCTTTACCAGAGCAAGCCCAGTAAGATATATAGCTTTGGCCATCATACAAATAATGACCAACCTTGAATGTCCCTAAAATATAACAGCAGCAGTGTGTTGAAAAAAGTGAATAAAGCTCAAAATCCTTCTAATAGCTTTTTTTTCCATACACACAAATGCATTGGGAACACTACACATTCTATTCCAAATCAAAACATGAAGAAAAATATATCAAATTTGTGTTGCTCCTCTAAAATAATTGAAAAAAAGTGAATATAAAAATAGCAGTGTTTGCATTCTTCTTTACAAACTGTTTTGCATGAAGTCAACCAACTTTTGGCACCTGTGAACAGGTATTCCAGCCCAGGATGATTGGACTACATTCCACAGTTCTTCTCTATTTCTTGGTTTTGCCTCAGAAACTGCATTTTTGATGTCACCCCACAAGTTTTCTATTGGAATAAGATCCGGGGATTGGGCTGGCCGCTCCATAATGTCAATCTTGTTGGTCTGGAACCAAGATGTTGCACATTTACTGGTGTGTTTGGGGTCGTTGTCTTGTTGGAACACCCATTCCAAGGGCATTTCCTCCTAAGGCTGACAGCATAAGGCAATAGACCCAACACCGTAGTATGAGAAACATCCCCATATCATGATGCTTGCGCAACCATGCTTCACTGTCTTCACAGTGTACTGTGGCTTGAATTCAGTGTTTGGGGGTCGTCTGACAAACTGACCCAAAAAGAACAATCTTACTTTCATCAGTCCACAAAATGTTGCGCCATTTCTCTTTAGGCCAGTCAATGTGCTCTTTGGCAAATTGTAACCTCTTCAGCACATGTCTTTTTTTCAACAGTGGGACTTTGCGGGGGCTTCTTACAGATAGCTTGGCTTCACATAGGCATCTTCTAATTGTAACAGTACTCAGAGGTAACAAAAGACCTTCTTTGATCATCCTGGAGCTGATTGTTGGCTGAGTCCTTGCCATTATGGCTACTCTTCTATCCATTCAAATGGTAGTTTTTCACTTTTTTCCACGTCTTTCAGGTTTTGGTTGCCATTTTAAAGCATTTGCGATCATTTTAGTTGAGCAGCCTATCATTTTCTGCACTTCTTTATATGTTTTCCCCCTCTCCAATCAATTTTTTAATCAAGGTACACTGTTCTTCTGAACAATGTCTGGAACGACCCATTTTCCTCAGAGTTTCAGAGAGAAATGCACTGTAACCAGCATGTACAACATTTGCTGCCTTCCTTCCTTAAATAAGGGCAATAATTGCCACCTGTTTTTCAAAGAATGAATGACCTCACTAATAGAACTCCACACTGCTATAATTTTGAAAATGCCCCTTTCAATTAGTGATTCAATTACACAGAATCATCAGCATGCATGTCATGACTGTTGGGTCTGTTGGATTTCTATTGCTCTACTACACCTGCTAGTAAATTATTTGCCATGTAGAAATATCATTTCTACCAAAAACAGTGACTGATCAGGTTAGTGATGTCTGACTGCTATTATTTTAAACACAACTGTACAATGGTAAACCCTTTGAAAAGACAGCTTTCTGTCTTCTAGAAATCTGTATAACAGAGTCTAAAAGAATGCCCTCTACCTCTATCCTGCTTAGTAATTTTGGCAGTATCTGATGGGAGGAAGAAAAGGCATATATTCGACTAAACTGATACCACAGTTACTGGTGTGTCCAAAGTGAAAGCCCTCTGACTACAAATCTGTCCGGTTTATTATTTAAACTGTAAGTAAGCTTATCCACATCCAGAGTCCCCCACTTGTGATATATCTGCTGAAACACTTATACTTGTAAGGACCATTCCCTTGGATCTAGCTGCTAGTGACTTTATAAGGCTGCCTTCCAATCCTCAACCCCTGCAATGTGCACCACAGAGAAAGCCAGAACATGACATTCCCCCCAAGACAGAATGTGGAATGCCTTGCTGTCTGTTGCATGACTTCTTGTACCTCCATTATGACTTGCATATGCTACAGCAGTTGCAATATTGCAAATCTTTTTTATCTTCTCCCCGCTTGCAGTGGCAGGAATACTCCCTTATTGTGAAGTTGTCTTGTCTCCTGATTTAGGTAATTTTGGGGTCCATTTCGTCTTACAAAACTGAGACTTTTGTTTATTCTAAAAACATGAGATCTGAGCTGAGTGAAAAGAACATTTCTTAGCCCCCAACATAGAAGGCTTATTTACCAATGGTTAACTTTTTTCTATAATGGCAACAAGGTCCCCCAACAAAATCTTGTGAATGAATGTGTCTAGGCCGTACCAAACAACCTATCTTCCTCAGAAGGCATTTTTTCCAACTGTTTTTTGCAGGGAAGTTTTCCTAACCAGTACTTTAACCACTAAATACACAACAGACATTAGAGCAATGTGGGGATGCCTGGTAAACAGTACTTGGGTCCCCTAAGGAATTTAATAAATGTTTAAATATTTTGGTGAGTGTTCTTCTTTAAAGTGGTCTTTTATATTTATACAGCATATTACTAAGGCTCTTCAATATACAATAGTTTCCCTTTGACTGCAATACTGGTATTCAATGTGACCAGACATTTTTTTTGCCTATAAAGTAGGCGAACATACTGTCACCAAGATCACATTGGCCATGAAAGTTACCAAAGAATCCTCCAGAAGGATCCTAGTTCTAGCTACTTGAATCATGGCTTCTGTAGTCACAAACAATACAATTGTGATAATTACCTCCATGTTCATTTAGAATAAACTCCACAGGGTTGCTGACTCCTGATCCAGAGCACTGAGGTAGCAGAAGAATAAGACTGGCCTTTTGTAATCTAGGATCACTGTGGTCAATGTCAGTGAAACTCTCTTTGAGCATCTTTACATCTACAAAGCAAAATACTGGAGTCAGTACAAGTCATGGGTATGATGTACTCTAGCTAGTAAAGTAAACTATAAAAAGAACATAATATATAAAAGAAGGTATATGGAAAAAGTAATCCCCCTGGAGGCAAATAGCTACATACAACTAAATACATATAGTACCTAGTTTTACCTTCAAAGCATCTGTATTTATATTCATCCATTCCTGAGCTTTACAAAGCCCTGTCAGATAGAAGAGCTATGTTGCTGCCCAGACTTTTCTTCACTGAATTTAGGTAATGAGGTTGAGTAACCTTTCTGTCCCCAGCCTGTGACTGAACATTTGTAAGCACACTGCAGCACACCTGACTGGCCTGTATTGCTGCCCCTCACTCTCCTAGTCTCACCTCTACCATCCAGTGGATTGCAAGAGGCAAATATAAGTCAGATTTAGGAACTTATACATTTTGTATAACAAAATAAATGTCATTTTTATTGTGCTTAACTACATTCACTAGTGTTTTCAAATCTACATCGAGTTGAGCTTTAAAGATGTTTCATCACAAGTTGAAAAGCTTGTTATATCTCAGTGCTGTGCTGTTCTTTAACAGCGTTGTCAGATCGCTAGCCCCTCCCCATCGCCTACCACGATCCAACGACGCTGAATAAAGGAGACTTCTAACTAACAGAACAGAGGAGAGGGCCCTGGAGCACACACAGCCTGCACAGCCCCGTCTGCTTCTGAATGCTGCAGACAGAACATGCATCTCTGTACCTCCTCTGCTCTATTTTTACAAATAAAAGACTGAGCCTACGATCTCTTGTAGGTGCCAACTAATTCAGAGAAGATTGCTACTATGGTAGCTGGCGTTTTGCATTGTGACAGCAGTTGGGGAGCAGTGCCGGTCATTCACCACATACAGTGAAGGAAATAAATATTTTATCCCCTGCTGATTTTGAATGCTTGCTCACTCACAAAGATATGATCGGTCTAAAATTCGAATGATAGGTGTATTGTAACACTGAGAGACAGAATAGCAATCAAAAATTCAAAAGAAATGCATGTCTAACAAATGATGCACTGGTTTGCATGTTCATGACGGAAAAAAGTATTTGATCCCCTTCACAAAACATGACTTAGTACTTGGTGGCAAATCCCTTGTTGGCAATCACAGAGGTCAGACGTTTCCTGTAGTTGACCACCAGGTTTGCATACATCTCAGGAGGGATTTTGGCCCACTCCTCTTGGCAGATCCTCTCCAAGTCATTAAGGTTTGGTGGCTGACATTTGGCAACTTGAACTTTCAGCTCCCTCCACAGATTTTCAATCGGATTAAGGTCTGGAGACTGGCTAGGCCACTCCAGGACCTTAATGTGCTTCTTCTTGAGCCACTCCTTTGTTGCTTTGGCTGTGTGTTTTGGGTCATTGTCATGCTGAAACAGCCATCCACGACCCATTTTCAATGCCCTGGCTGAGGGAAGAAGGTTCTCACCAAAGATTTGATGGTACATTGCCCCATCCATCGTCCCTTTAATGTGGTGCAGTTGTCCTGTCCCCTTAGCAGAAAAACACCCCCAAAGCAGAATGTTTCCACCACCATGTTTGACAGTTCTTGGGGTCATAGGCAGCATTCCTCCACCTCCAAACACGGCAAGTTGAGTTGATGCCAAAGAGCTCGATTTTGGTCTCCTCTGACCACAACAGTTTCAACCAGTCCTCCTCTGCATCATTCAGATGTTCAGTGGCAAACTTCAGACGGGCCTGGACATGTGCTTTCTTGAGCAGAGGGACCTTGCGGGCAGTGCAGGATTTCAATCCTTATCGGCGTAGTGTGTACCAATTGTTTTCTTGGTGACTGTGGTCCCAGCTGCCTGGAGATCATTGACAAGATCCTCACATGTAGTTCTGGGATGATTCCTCACTGTTCTCATGATCATTGACACTCCACAAGGTGAGATCTTGCATGGTGCACCAGACCTAGGGAGACTGACAGTTGTTTTGTGTTTCTTCCATTTGCGAATGATTGCACCAACTGTTGTCACCTTCTCATCAAGCTGCTTGGCGATAGTTTTGTAGCCCAGTCCAGCTTTGTGTAGGTCTACAATTTTGTCCCTGACTTCCTTGGACAGCTCTTTGGTCTTTGCCATGGTGGAGAGTTTGGAATCTGATTGTTTGATTACTCCTGGGGACAGGTGTCTTTTATACAGGTAACAAAATGAGATTAGCAGCACTCCCTTCTTCTAATCTCAGTTTGTTACCTGTATGAAAGACACCTGGTAGCCAGAAATCCTCCTGAATTTCCCTCATGAACATGCAAATCAGTGCATAATTTGTTAGACATGCATTTCTTTTGAATTTTTTGTTGCTATTCTGTCTCTCAGTGTTACAATACACCTACCATTCGATTTTTAGACTGATCATTTCTTTGTGAGTGGGCAAACATTCAAAATCAGCAGGGGATCAAATACTTATTTCCTTCACTGTAGTAAGCTGCTTGCTCTGGGAGAACTTGGCAGGAGAGAGGGCCAGTGGTGGATCTCAGATGAGGAAGACCGAGCTGCTCTGTGCCAAACCATTCCACAGAACAAGTAAGAATGACTTGTTTGTTATTTTTTTATTGTCTTTAATATCACTTAAATAAAATTAATGATATTCAAGTATGTATTCTTAATTTTAAAAAGTGCCTTCTATTTTTCTCAGCCTCCTCCACATTCCACATTCCTATTTTTCAGCAGTGTGATCTGACTTCCTATTACAGGGTGGCTATACTTGTTCTCCATGTTGCTAATGTATGTAGGAGCGTAGCCATCCTCCCTTGCTTGTTCCCAAGATGGACTATGGGATGTGTAGTGTGTGATACACAGGACCGCAACTACCATTCCATACAAATTGAAGTTAGGGAGAAAAAGAGAGGTTTGCGAGCTCACAGAGGACAAAACAAGGAGGCATAAAACACAGTATGAAGCTATTTCATGAAAAATAGATTACAAGGCCATTGAGTAGTGGATGTGTATAGATTATCTTTGGAGAATAAGGATATTATTCAGTGTCGGCTTTACCCAAATGTGTAAATAAATATTAGAGCATTGTTTATAGCATTTTGCTATAATCAGTGCATTTAAAAATAACTATGCATCCATCCCTTCCTTCCTACGCACAAAATTAAAAATACACTGTAAGTGTCAGTGATGGAATGATATCATGATTGATATATAGTACTTTGCTGAAAATGTACATCAAGCTGTGTTCCTGTAGCATATGTATCTGACATAATATAGTTTTATTTCAGGAAAGACCTACTTTTACACTCCATGTTCTTGAAGATTTCCTGCATTTCTTCATCTCTGGATTCAGACTTAACCCCACATACATATATACTGCACATGCCCTGACTGGTCAGCACGGAGAGGTGGGCGATGGTAAAGTCTGGAAAAGGGTTGGCCACAATAATATCACTGTCCATGTTGTGCAAGGCTTTCACAGTATGTGCTGCAACACTGTGTGACTTGTCCTATAGAGAAAGAACAAATATGGCAAACATGGTTACAGTTGCAAGAAAAAAGTATGTGAACCCCTTGGGATTACGTGGAGTTTTGCATGAATTGGGCATAAAATGTGCTCTGAACGTCATCTAAGTCACAACAATAGAAGAACACAGTCTGCTGAACATAATACTACACAAACATTAGATGTTGCCATGGTTTAATTGCACATGAACATGTAAACATTCACAGGGCAGGGAGGAAAAAGTATGTGAACCTTTGGACTTAATAACTGGTTGACCCTCCTTTGGCAGCAATAACCTCAACCAACCCTTTTCCTGTAGTTGCAGATCAGACCTGCACAACGATCTGGAGTAACTTTTGGACCACTCCTCTTCACAAAACTGTTTCAGTGTAGCAATATTCTTGGGATGTCTGATGTGAATCGCTCTCTTAAGGTCATGCCACAGCATTTCAATCGGGTTGAGGTCAGGACTCTGACTGGGCCACTCCAGAAGGCGTATTCTGTGCTGTTGCAGCCATTGTTTTGTTGAATTACTTGTATGCTTTGGGTCATTGTCCTGTTGCATCACCCATCCTCTGCGGAGCTTCAGTTGGCGGACAGATGGTTGTACGTTTTCCTGCAAAATGTCTTGATAAACTCTGGAATTCATTTTCCCATCAATGACAACAATCCATCCAGGCCCTGAGGCAGCAAAGCAGCCCCAAACCATGATGCTCCCTCCGCCATGTTTTACAGTGGGGATGAGGTTTTGATGTTGGTGTGCTGTGCCTTTTTTTCTCCACACATAGTGTTGTGTGTTCTTCCCAAACAACTCAATCTTGGTTTCATCTGTCCACAGTATATTTTGCCAGTAGTGCTGTGGAACATCCAGGTGCTCTTTTGCAAACTTCAAATGTGCTGCAATATTCTTTTTGGACAGCAATGGCTTCCTCCGTGGTGTCCTCCCATGTACTCCATTCTTGTTTAATGTTTTCCTTATTGTAGATGTGTCAACAAAAATGTTAGCATGTGCCAGAGATTTCTGTAGGTCTTTAGCTGACACTCTGGGATTCCTCTTTACCTCATGCAGCATTCTGCGCTGTGCTCTTGCAGTCATTTTTACAGGATGACCACGCCTAGGGAGAGTAGCAACAGTGCTAAACTTTCTCCATTTGTAGACAGTCTGTCTTACCGTGGACACATGAACATCAAGGCTTTTGGAGATACTTTTGTAACCCTTTCCAGCTTCATGCAAGTCAACAATTCTTGATCGTAGGTCTTCTGAGAGCTCTTTTCTGCGAGGCATGGTTCACATCAGACAGTGCTTCTTGAAACCAGTAAACCCAAAACAGGTGTGTGTTTTTTAAGGGCAGGACAGCTGTCAGCAACACATCCAATATCATCACACTGATTGGAGTCAAGGTTGGCTCACTCCTGGCTCCAATTAGCTCTGGGAGAAGTCATTAAGCTAGGGCCTCACATACTTTTTCCTCCCTGCACTGTGAATGTTTACATGTTATGTGCAATTAAACCATGGCAACATCTAATGTTTGTGTAGTATTATGTTCAGCAGACTGTGTTCTTCTATTGTTGTGACTTAGATGACGTTCAGAGCACATTTTATGCCCAATTCATGCAAAACTCCACGTAATCCCAAGGGGTTCACATACTTTTTCTTGCAACTGTATAGAAGATACATCCTAACTTTTGTAGGGCCTAGAGATATGGAATTTTCCTGCAGCACTAAGTCTGCCTGAGCACTCATAGTGTGACATGGCACAGGGTACAAAAGTGTCTTTCAAGCAGACAGAAGTTACCTCCTGAAAAGAGAACTGAGTATACCTTTAATTTTACAGTATATGTGGCATTTAGCCTGGATTCACGCAACATGCATTGTGTGTGGTGTGTAGACATGCTTTAGCCGCTTTCCCGCCACCCTATAGCAGATATACTGCTACAGGGTGGCAGGGGTGCACAAAATTATGTATATATACACGTGATTTTGCATTTCTGGGTACGGGGCGTGAGTGGGCCGCCCATGCACCCTACCCGCGCCGCTATTTGCGGCCTAGGCTGTCAATCACTGGGTCACGCCTCGTTACTTGCTGAGCATTATCAATGGAAGGAGAGAACTGTATGTAAACAACACAGTTCTCTCCCCTGTCAGCTCCTGCAAACTACTTTGTATGGCTCTGCATAGCAGAGCCATACAAAGCAGTGTGCTTACAGTTGAAAACACAGACACAGCCCCACAGTAAAACAGCACACAGTTAACCCTTTGATTGTCCCAGATATTAACCCCTTCCTGCCCATTGCCATTAGTACAATCAGTGCTTTTTATTAGCACTGATCACTGTATTGGTGTCACTGGGGATGTCAGTGACACCAAGTCATTTCTCCCCAGTGTTAAAATGCCCACTGCAGTCTCGCTATAAGTCGCTGATTGCCGCCATTACTAGTAAAAAAAAAAAATCCCAGTATATACAGGTATACCACCATTTGTAAATGCTATAACTTTCACGTAAACCAATTAATTTACTCATATTGGGATTTTTTTTTTAGCAAAGACATGTAGCAGAATACATTTTAGCCTAAATTTATGAAGAAGTTTGAGTTTAAATTTTTTTACTAGACATGTATAATAGCAAAAAGTCAAAAATATTGTTTTTTTTCTCAAAATTGTTGGCCTTTTTTTTTATAGCCCAAAAATTCAAAACTGCACAGGCAATCAAATACAACCAAAAGAAAGCTCTATTCATGGGGAAAAAAGGATGTAACTTTAATTTGGGTGCAGCATTGCATAACCGCGCAATTGTCAGTTGTCGTAATGCAAAAAATGGCCTGGCCAGCAAGGGGGTAAATCCTCTGGAAGGCAAATGGTTAAACACACTTGAGTAGAGGTGTGTTGACATTCTTTTTTTACCTGCAGCATTAATGTGTTTTCTTTCCCCAGCAGAAGCCATAATGTTTTATGTTGTTTTCCTTAAAGTGGAACTAAAGTAAAAAAAAATTGTGAGCAGGCAGCCTTTTATTTTATTGCAAAGGATACGTTATGTCTCTTCTGCAAAAAAAAAAAAACCTAGCTGACTGTTTACAGCCGGGTCAGTAGATGTCAACAGCTGGCAAGTGATCCAATGGTCATATCGCCAGGACAGAGGTAAGTATTTGGTGCACTTTAGTTCTGTTTTAACAAACGCTGTGAAGCGCTAAAGTGTGTTGCAGCATGCGTTAATGTCAAATATTTCATATGCTGCTCCGAGATGATGAGATCGCACACCATCACTCCTCCATCATATCTTAGGTACTGGATCAGCATCTCTCCGCTAAAGCAAATAACTGTACCAGCAAAAAGAATGCTGCACACCAAGATGCAAAATATTGTTCTTCTTTCATTAAAGCAGAGTTCCAGATGAAAAAAAAATTAAAAAGTCAGCAGCTACAAAACAGTAGCTGCTGACTTTTAAAATACAGCCACTTACTTGTCCTTCAGTCCAGCAATGTCCTCACCATGGCTGGTTTCACCGACCGTCTTCTCTCCCTGGTGCCGGCATCTTTAATGTGGGCACCAGGCTCTGACAGCTTGCGGCTTCACAGCCGGGTGCCCACTGCACATGCGCGAGAAGCGCTGTGCTTTGTGAATGGCCCCGTAGTCTTCTGCGACCAGTCACGTGTCCCAGAAGACTACAGGGAGGGAGTGGGGGAGGACAACTTCCGCTTCTGATCGCCTAGGCATCGCAGCGGAAGTGGGAGCGGGTACCTGTCAAATTTGAGTACCCGTTCCCCCCTGCTCCCAAAAGGTGCCAATCCTTAATGGGGAGCGGGGGACAAAGAATTAAAGCGGAACTTCCCCTTTTGGATGGAACTCTGCTTTAAAATAGCCATCAGGAACAGATTCTATTCTGACATGTTTTGCATTAGGCACAGTGCTTTGTCATAAAATTGTACATACTCAAAACATGGCAGAATAGAACCTGTTCCCACTGGCTATTTTAATAAAGGAATATTATTTGCATCTCAGAGTGTGGCTAGTACAGTTGGTGTTCCATTACTTTTTTTTTTTTATTTAAGAAAGAAGATACGGATTCCAAGTGGGCTACCCTCGCAGGGGAGAGCACTTGTGTTGAAAGCAATTGGTTGGCTCACATAGCAGTCCACATCATGCCAGGGAAGGCTCTGATTTGTTTCCTCATAAGCAAGGAGGTAAAAGGAATAGGTGGGAGAGGGTGAAGTGGCTTTGAGGCTGGATGGGTTATTATGAGTTCATATCCACTGCTGTGGAGGGGTCTTCCAACCAACAAGCCCATATGTTGCAAAATTTTTCTTTCTACCACTATTCTCATACGTCTCTTGATATAAGGGAAGATTATAAATGCTTCCAAAAGTATTAAGTGAGCAGTTGCTTTCTTCCAATGCACTGCAATTGATTTTACGGCATAGTAGCGTAACAGTACCTGTAGCCTTATAGATCCAATGGCGTATGTGGGGGCCATGCGTTCTACAAACCCCAGTAGGCACAACCGATGTTCCATTTTTACCTAGCTCAAATCAATGCAGCAAGTTAGAGTGAACTGAGCCTAGTGGAAATGTTGAGCAACGTCGCCCAACAGATGTGGTGTAAATGGGCCCCAAAGGCATATGTGGTGCTAAATAAAACCGTCAGTGAGCTTTGACACTTGTGCTCTCCAGGGAGATCTGTTATCTTTCTGGAGACCCTCATACCCAAAAGCCATAAATGTGTGGTGCAGGCCCTCAAAAGGCCCACAGTGCTGCAGAAAATATTTAGGTGTATGGGTACTGAGAGAGAGATTCTAAAACGCTGACATTGTGAAGTAACCACTGAAGCATTAAAGGGTAATAGAAGTAGAACTGATGTCAATGGCTTAAGAGAATTCTACACGATAATAACCCTCCTTCCCCTAGCACATCTCTGTAGGAGGCTGAGGAACCAACAGCATCCCACCAAACAAAGTCAACACGCCAGGTGGGAGGAAACAGGTCTATTAATAATAAAACCAAACTGGTGAA